AGAAAATTGCCCTTGAAGTAGCTATATAATTCTTATTAGTATTGAGCAAACTATTGAGTTTTGTTGCGAATAATATTAGACTCGTCTACATTTCTTGAAGTAAATGCAATTATCATGAAATTTAATAGCGGACAAATTGAAATCCCAAATATAATGGGGATTTGGTAATGATACCAAAAATATTTCTAATCACCAGAAGTGAGAAATTTTGATGAAAATTAAATAAACCACCAGAAGTTGGAAACATAAATAGGGTAAAAGGTAAAAGATAGCAAGTGCTATTTATTGTGGTATAAAATAAAATAAAAAAATCACTACTCATGTTCCTACTTTGTAGCAAGAACATATTGTTACTCTCTGTCAAGAATCAGAAAGGCATTTATGTTAACCATAATGTTAACAATGTTATTAGGGATGTTTAAGATGATCACCCAGAAGGTGTATTAGTTATATGTTCAAAATGAAAGCATCCAATTGTAGTTTATTTTATATTTTAACTTGAGTAGTTTCTTTATTTAATGTTTTACTATTTCTTGTAATTTTATGAATTTAAGTAATTTCAATGTTTTGCTAGAAGAAATTTAATTAAATGCTCCCGTAGAGCATATGTTAATTTCTCAACAAAGTTGGACAAGAAGCTCCAGAAGAGCAGAATTTTTGATTGCAAAGTACAATAACTTGTATGTTCTCTAACTACGGGAACTATGTAATTGAATTCCTCCATAAAGTTGGATGAAATCTCTCACAGAGAATCAATTAGTAAATATATCTTAACAAGATTAGATGTATACTCCTGCAGAGTAAGAATATTTGGACAGAATCAAAATAATTGAATAAACAAATACTCCTTAAGAGTATACATGCTCCATCATATTAAATGCTCCCATGAATAAGAATTAATTCGACACAATTGAAATAAATCCATTATTATCTCCTGAAGAGAACTTGTACATTTTGCTCTAGAAGAATAGATGATATATGCTAGAGCAAGTAAACTTTTGCAATTATGTCAAATGAATTGGAGAAAAGTTTTTCAAATGTCAAAAAATGCCATCATATACTTTTCCATTAAAAATTACAATTTCTAGAAGAAACTTGTTTTAAGGTTTGTATTCTTTATGTTAAAATATTATACATATATTACTAGCATTGGGTTTTATAGTAAACTGGAAGTTTACTAAACCAGAAGTTCACTTCTTGTACCAACAAGTCAAACCAGAAGTTTGTGAATTATATTGACTTAGTTTTTGAGAAAGCTGGTTTGCCATCCCAGTTTTATTACGATCTATAGAGGGTCAAAGAATTTTGTGACTACTATAAAAAGCTAGAAGATTCTTCTATATAATGACTTTGTATATACTTTTGTGTTTGTGTGAAGTGATTACCACACTATTACCAGAAAAATTCAGGCTAAATATCTGGCACAATACAAAGAATACATAATAACGCCAGTGGGTTTATTCTCCCATGTTGTAAAACTATTTAATAATTAGGTTATTAACTGGTGTGCTTACGAGATAGCCACATGTATGCTTATTATTAACTTGCAAACCTGAAGTTTGTGACTTTCTTACAGAGTTAAAGTGAACTGTGTATTTACATATTCTTCTATCATGAGAATGAAATATCAAAATAAATATGAAGCGATCCTGTAGAATCGTTCGCTAAATGTGTTCAGATAATTAAAATCATTACGTAAGAGAAGCAAATACCTCATATACAATTGAGGCTGTTTTGAAACACAAAATGCAAAAATGGTATACATAAGACCAAATGGGTCTTTATAGATATTCTCTCAAACGTTGGTTTTCGATCAAAAACCATATCTATCCATATTCAAATTTTAGATGTGCAGTTTATATTAATTGTTCCATCACAATGCACAAAAAGATGGAGCCTCCATAAGAGGTTAAAAATATATGATGAATTTTGAAATTCCAACCTTTGGGGTTATTGATGTTGAGTTTTACTATTCAATTGACTTATTGTTTGTTTGATGAGTTAGTTACTCCAAAAGGAGATTTATTTACTACTTGATTGGTTGATAATCAGTTTGACGAATTAGTTATCCCAGCATCAGGGGGAGAAGTGAAAACAACTGATTAATAAATTAAATGGATGACATCATTATCTCATTAGATCCTCGAAAGTATGAACCTGAAGTTCAAGAGATACTATTTAAAGACAAGATATTTGTATGACCAAAATGTGTAATTATATTACATGCAAAAGGCTGTTAATGTTTTGATGTTATATCCCTGAAGGATCATCTACCACTATTGTTTAATTTAAGTCCATTCGATAAGTGGTAGAACCGTTGATTCCAATGATAAGAATCCTCGTAAATTATAAAGTTTAAATCTATTGAGATGGAAAATATGAGTGATTAAATGGTTTTTCCAATACTGTGAAAATAAACTTCCAGAAGAAGAATAAGAATATTTGAAAATTTTAGTGATTGTGAGATCTCATTACTAAAAGAAAGATGGAATCGACCGGCAAAATGTCGACATGAAATTTTGCTTATATTGCAGTTTTTAGTACTATGAATGAAAATAAGGATCATGAAATAAAAGTCTGTAGTGAGTGCAGACATTAAACTTATCGCCATAATAAATGAAAAGACGCAATACATACACCTGAAGATGTATAGGTACAATGAAATTGCTTGAAAAACTAGAAGTTTTGATAAGTAATATACCAGCTTAATATTGTTGGATAATTGTGCAAAAGATAGAGTGCAACCTACTTGTTGCACAAGGTTTTCCAAAGTCCAGATGTTAATCATGAGGAGGTATATTCTCGTGTGGTGGATGAAAAAATTCTTCTGTTATTTACTACATCTGGCAGCAAATAAAGACATAAAAATGCGTCTATTAAAAATAGTGACCACTTAAAACTTGAAATTTGATACTTAAGATTTTGATAATGACGTCTATGTGAAATCCCTGAAGGATTCAATAAAGGGCATGGTTCCGATTCTTGAAAAATTAATTCGAAAGACTTGCGCAAGTACGAGTGTCTTCATGTTTTTAGCCAAATATATAGGTGTATATTTTTTGAATGTTTGCTTTATGCACTCGTCTTTATATTTGTTTTATGAGAATATATTATATTTGTTTGTTTGTGATTTCTATATGTCTATATGATCATATTTATATGATATTGATATGTGTTCATTATATACATTTGTGTTTAGAACACAGTTAACACTAAATTCTTGAAGAGTCTGAAAAAGGCTGAATATTATCGAAACTTATTATAGAGTTCGAATGAACATCCAAGGGGGAGTGTTATAAATATTTAATGTGGATGTCCATATTTTAGAAGAGTTATACAAGGAATGAACTATTTAGAGATAATATTTAGTTAGTTAGATCTTATCATTATTTGATGTTATCCTTATATCTATCTATTTTGTCTATAAAAGGAGATCATTCTCCACAAAGAAGACATAGATGAATTCTTTCTTCTCTCTCTTGTTCTCGTTCTACTTGTTCTTTCTCTACAGTTCCATATCTCTAATTGGTTTGGTTTATTTTATAACAGTTACAAGTTTTTTTTTTTAATTTGGAGAAGAAAAAGAAATTATGCAAGTGCTTTTTTTTTAATTTGGAATAGGATATTTGCTTTTAACTTATCCATAAAATAATGGAGACAATAAAGAAAATTAATTACAATAGATGTGTTAAAATTTTATATAAGGGCATTAGCGATAATTGGAAAGATTTTGTTCTATATATAACAAAATAGCTTTGTTATTAATTGCCAAACATAATAGAGAGATATTACTTTTGGGTGAATCTGGTTCCATGTAATCACTGGCCCAAAAATTACTGTAATCTTACTCAGTGGATGAACGATTAGTTTGAATTGTTGGATTACCCATTATTTAATCTTTATTTATTACGACTGATTTATTTAAAATACTCCTTCCGTCCCATAAAAATAGTCCACGTTGAGTTTTGAGTCTTGTACTGTTTTTAGTAAAAGTTTGAAAACTCAATGTGTACTATTTTGTGGAACGGAAGTAATCTTTTTCTCTATTAATTCTCACCATCATTTTATCTACTCTTACACTTATTGAAAACTGTTACAAAAGCTACATGGGCGTTCCATAAAAGATATTTTCCTTCCAAAACTCCAAAAGCTACGTGGCACTTCGTCAAAAAGTATTTTCCATCTTAAACTCCAAAAATAATACGATGTGGTTTTGGCTTAATAAGAAAAAGAAATCTCATAAGTTTAGAAAATACAGTATTGTAATATATCTTTGGAAGTAAATATTCGAACGAAAATTTATGCCCGGGCTAAAAGTATTGACATCGTTTTATCTTTTTTTTTTTCCTGCGAAATTATTTTGTCATAGCAAAATATTTTTTTTTTCTTTTCATAGTTACATGTTGTTTTGTTAAATAACGTCATGCTCAACACTGCCCGAGCAACGACCCGGCTGATTAACTAGTTAATTTTATTATTGTCATCACTCTTCTTTACAACCCCCCAAAAAAAAGAAAAATACGGAAGATGGAAGCAAATAACAAAAAGAGGCAGCGCGTGTAGTCAATCTCCAGAAGTCAACCAATACGCAGCCAGCAGGAGATTGTACTCCATAGAGAGAGTTAGTTAAACTACTGCGTCACTCTCTCTACCCGCTTTTTTTTTTTTTTCCCTTTCTTTCTCCCGTCTTCATTCTGTCTCTGTATAAAATCCTAGTAATAAAATTTGTGTTTCTTTTTAATTTTTCACACACAAAAACCCTAATGATTTAAATACAATTTCGCCACACGCACACATCTCTCTCCTCCTCTTCTTCCTCCGCAACACTCTCTCTCGCTTTTCTCTCTCTCTAAACCCTAGAGAATCAGAACCTTTTCCACCTGAGAATTCTCGTTTTCTAGGGTTTAGCTTTCTGTTTATTCGTCAGTCTATCTCTGCAATTGATTTGATTTCGATTTGATTGATTACACAGCAAATTTGTTTTTTTTTTTTTGGAAAAGATGGATCTTCAGAGTTTGGCAATGATTCTTCATGGCGCGCTCAGTCCTAATCCTGATGAACGCAAAGCTGCTGAAACCAGTCTGAATCAAGTAAATGAACTCGTTATTTAGTTTTTTTGTTTTTCAAGAATCTTGACAATTTGAGTTTCGGATAGTTTTTTTTTACTGATTCATTGCTTGCGGATGGTTGTTCATCACATGGAAATTGGGAATTCGATTGAATTTTTGTAATGATTCTCTATCGGAGCTTTTTCGCACGCGATTAGTTAATCGTTTGTGTGTGTGTGTGTGTGTGTTTTTTTTTTTGTGGATTTTGTGTTGCAGTACCAATATACACCTCAGCATTTGGTAAGGCTGTTGCAAATCATTGTGGACGAGAACTGTGACAAGGCTGTAAGACAAGTGGCGAGTATTCACTTCAAGAACTTTATTGCAAAGAACTGGGACCCGCTTGATGGTAATTTTTATGCATTTAGAGGCAATCCAGATTTTTCGTTTTTTTTGTCTGTTGCACGTTCAGTGATTTACTGTTTTAACTATGAGGTGTTGTTCTGGCATTTATTTGATTTTGGTTTGAAACTTTGTAGTTGGGTTCAAGAAATTAATTGCTTGAGTAAAAATGTAGGTGAGCAATCAAGGATATTGCCTGGTGATAAAGATGTGGTGAGGGAGAATATTCTTAATTTTATTGCCCAAGTTCCGCAGATGTTAAGGTATGTGTTATTGTTCCCAATGCAGTGTACTAGCTCTTATGCAGTATGCTTTACCTTTTCTTTTCAAAGATGTTATAGGCTGGAAGAACTGATGCAGAAATGGTGATTCATCTTTTTGTTGATGTGCTTAATGTTATGAACGAAAAATAGAAGGCCTTGAATTTTCTGTCCATGAACAATTTGTATTTCTGAGTTTTAGATTTGATATACCTTAGTATTTCAGTGACTTAGGCCATCGTAAGTGTTATGGATGAATGGAATTTTGAATCTGTTCAACTTCTGGTGTCGTTGCTGTAGACCTATGCACATCTTTCCACATCAATTTAGGTTGTAGAACATCCGCCGTGCTGTGTTTTAAAAAGCGCGCCTGAGGCGCGCCTCGAGGCGAGGCGACAAGGAAATCGCATCAGGGAGGGTGATGCGATGCGATTACGTGAGGCGAGTAGGATGCGCAAAAAGCGTTAGCCTCACCCTTGAGGCGTGATGCGCAAGAGGCGCTCGCCTCCGGTTTTGACTGGTTTTTGCGATCTGGAGAGGAGAAGAAAGAGAAGAGAAGAAGAGAGAAGAAGGTCAGGCATCAGAAGGAGAAGAGAAGGAGAAGAAGAAAGAAGGAGAACGCCTGACCGTTGGCCATGGCTCGTGAGAGAAGGAGAGAAGAAACAGGAGAAGAAGAGAGGAGGAGGAGGAGGGTGGATGAAACTTGCAGTGGCGGCTGAGGAGAAGGATAGAGAAAGGGGTTTCTCTATTTTGGCCGTTTGTTTCTTAGTTAGAAAAAGGCCCATTTGACAATAAATTCAAGTTAACTTCCTTAGAATTTTAAAATATGCTGCTAAGTTTTAATGTTTTAAAAAACTGATCCCTGAACTTCTATATTCATCTGTTTGAGACTATAATTGACACCTACATTATTAAAATTATTTGTTTATTTCACTATATTAGAGTTCGCCTCGCATACGTGAGGCGTTCGCTTTCGCTTCACGCCTCACGCCTTGGCTCTCAAGGCCCTTAGCGCCTCGGCACGCCTCTCGCATTTTAAAACTAAGCCGCTGTGTTACCGATGTGGACTTAATCACCCTTTATCTTATCTCAAAAGAGCTACTCTACTTTGCATCTTTACCTAAATGGTAATCACTTATTGGTTGTTAGTATGATTAAAATAATTGTTCTATAAAATTTTTACCTTTGAGTAATGCCATGCGCATTGATATGTTTAGTAGAGATGAATACTATGTTCATTTATGGTTGTGTCTTCTAGCGTAGCAAAGAGAATGTTGAAAATTTGTAGATTTTTGCGGATGTCACTTCTTTGGAACCAGAATTCTGGAGCCAAACTCCCTTCTCTGCTTTCCACTCGCTGGTGGTAGGGGTGGGGGGACTATATTTTCTGTCATCCTATTATACTAAAGCATTATACGATATTTTAGATTTGCTGGGACAGATGTGTGTTTCTTGGTGTTGGTGTTCTATATGACCAAAATATCTTGCTTATCCTCGTATCAGTTTTACTTCTAGCCCTTTCATGAAAAACTAATGTATCGTTTCATCACTGTTTGTAAGTTACTACATTTATGCTTAGTAAAGTTCCTTAATTTTTGGGATCTACTTTTTTCTATTGGCAGAGTACAGCTAGCTGAGTGCTTGAAGACTATAATTCATGCTGATTACCCTGAGCAGTGGCCCGGGCTTTTGCAGTGGGTCAGAGCCAATTTGCAAAATCAGCAAGTGTTTGGGGCCCTATATGTGCTAAGGATTCTAGCTCGGAAATATGAGTAAGTCTGTGTTTGTAAACTTTTGTGGTGATTTACACGATTCATTTTTAACAAGTTTGTGTAGAGCATAATTTGGAATCCATTTTTTGAGATTCTCAAGTACTAGTTTCTATTGATATATTTTCGTCAGACTGGTGCGATAATGTTACGCTTGTGGTCCAGACAATAAGGTGTTGGCAAACTTAATTGGCCTTTTCTTTTAATAATTTGATTGCTTGAAGAACGCAGCCTGGTTTTGTTATCCTAAGATCCTAATTTTATACAGTCATACAGGCTGTTGCTTTTTACTGTTTGAGATACTGTGTAGCATTCGCCCACAGTGACCACTTTGTATCCTTTTGGGGGATCTTATGTGCTTAAACATGAAACCTGTTGTGACGGTTCTCTAATGTTTTGTATTCTACCAAATTTTGTTGATTAAATCAAATTAGCGAGAAAGTGCTCTGACGGTCTTAAAATTTGATTATGAATTGGATACTTTTGAAATAAAATATTGGTCACTTGAATTTTGGTTGTGATACTGAGTCCTGTGGCATTTTCTTAGGGAATTTTGATAGTTGAATATTTGGGGTTTGTAGAGATTGTAGTTGGTGTGCCTTCGGATTTCCTAGTCAAGAGAATTGTATTTGCACGTGGCATTGCCAAAAAAGTTCATTAATATTTATGTGATCTTGGGTGTTGAGCTTTCGACAATAGCTGCAGCTTCTATTATCCTTTGACGAGTTACATGTTTCAGTTCTTTAAAGCTTCTGTAAGATTTCTTGGGATATGATCTCGGGATTGTTGGTGTCTTTTTTATAAATATATTATTGATATTTTGCTGGCAATTGCTTTAAATGTTTGCCTTTATTGATATTCTGCTCACTCTTAAATTGTTTTTTGTTCCTCAGTATCCTACCCAGTTCTTATAATACTACTTTTGCTGTTAATAGGTTCAAATGTGATGAGGAGAGAGTGCCGGTTCACCATATTGTTGAAGAAACATTTCCACCCCTTATTAATATTTTCAGCAGTCTTGTTCAGATACCAAATCCTTCCATTGAAGTAGCTGATTTGATCAAGCTTATATGCAAGATATTTTGGTCCTGTATATATGTATGTGAACTTTTACAAGTCTTGTAGTTTAACGTTGATTATTTCGTATCTTTGACTGGCTTCTATGTGTTGACTGCTTTATATCCAAGAATATTTGCTTTTTCTTTTAATTATCTTTGGATTTTATCTTGGAAACTTAATTAACGAATGTGTATATTAGTTTTTTAATTAAAATCAGATAAGGCTGGATTTGATTTTTTGTAAGGTAATCTATTTTCTATTGAGATTTTAATTTTTCTAGTTTCTCTTCGTTTCAGTTGGAGATCCCGAAACAGTTATTTGACCCAAACGTGTTCAATGCCTGGATGGTTCTTTTTTTAACTATTCTGGAAAGACCTGTCCCGATAGAAGGCCAACCTATTGACCCAGATATGCGTAAATCATGGGGCTGGTGGAAAGTCAAGAAATGGACGGTTCACATTCTTAACCGGCTCTACACCAGGTTCATTTGTCCTACCCTACAAATCTGTTCAGGACTGGCCTCAGTTATTTTATTACCGCCTTCTGGTCATGTTTAGGTTTTGTGTTTTAATTGACTTCCTGGCATTCTTTTCAGATTTGGGGATTTGAAACTTCAAAATCCAGACAACAGAGCTTTTGCCCAAATGTTTCAGAAGAATTATGCTGGAAAAATCTTAGAATGCCATCTGAACTTACTGAATGCAGTCAGGGTTGGTGGCTATTTACCAGACCGCGTGATTAACCTTATTTTACAGTACTTGAGCAACAGGTTATTGCTTTTCTCTGTGCCTTTTCCACTTGCTCAATCATTTTGTCATTATGTTTGTGTTTACATATGAATTTCTTAATATTATTAGCAGTTCAAATTTTTCGGTTTTGTTCTTAAGAGAAATAAAAAGCCAGCCAATTACTGTTAAAATTTGGACATTATTACTAACTACATAAATCTGTATAGACCATGGAACTTATTCACTATATGAAATGCAATTTTGCCAATGGCCTCTCACGATTATAAGCACTGAACTGGGATGTTTTTATAGATGAAACATAGGCTCTAGGAAGTTGGCATTTGGCGAGGATAATTTTGACATTTAGAGAAATGATTTTCTACTTAAAAGTTTCTTGGATATTTCAACTATTAGCATTTATAATTTGGTTGTCTCTACAAAGATTCTCTTCATTTGTTTTGCTATTGTAGTCTGTCACATGTGGTTGATAGTTTTCTTGGAATAATTTAAAATTTGCTCTTCTGAAGAAAGTGTTGATGATGGCTGTGGAATGGTAAACTTTAACAGTTAGATTACCCAGATTTTTCCATGACTCTTCCAATTGCTGGTTCTCTAAATGTCATCCATTGTATGACTTAATTCTGATGCGACAATATATAGTTTCATCTTTGTAGTTATTTCTTAACTAGAAACATAGATTTTATCTGGCGGTAGAACATGAGTGAAAACCATATTTCACCTTGTTCATTTTTGGCTTGATAGCTTGCGATGATTAGGTTAGTTTTCTGATGCTTTCCTTTTAACTGGAAATTGCAGTGTTTCGAAGAGCAATATGTACAACCTTCTCCAACCAAGGCTTGATGTGATTTTGTATGAGATTATTTTCCCACTTATGTGCTTCAGTGACAATGATCAAAAGCTTTGGGATGAAGATCCTCATGAGTATGTTAGGAAGGGATATGGTGAGCGATCGCGTTGTGAATTAATGTTTGGTTCACTAGTTCTTTTCCAATTTTTTTTCAAGCTTCGAGGTTTATCTGTTTTCTTTGTTCTTTTTTTTTTTTCCTTTTTTTATTTTTCCTGTCAATATCTTTACAGATATAATTGAGGATTTATATAGTCCAAGAACTGCTGCAATGGATTTTGTCAGTGAGTTGGTGAGAAAGCGTGGCAAAGAAAACCTTCCGAAATTCATTCTCTTCATTGTTGAGATTTTTAAAAGGTATCATGCTTATGCAAATTAACATCTGTTAATATGTACTATTATGTTTTGCATTACCTAACTGTTCTGGTTTGTTGTCCCAATGTTGGATAATTTCTAGGTATGATGAGTCTGCTCCAGAATATAAGCCTTATCGGCAGAAAGATGGTGCTCTTCTTGCGATTGGCACCCTCTGTGATAAACTTAAACAGACTGGACCTTACAAGTCTGAGCTTGAGCGTATGCTTGTACAACATGTTTTCCCCGAGTTTCGTAGTCCCATGGGTCATCTCAGAGCTAAGGTATGCTGTATGTTTTGGGCCCTTATTGCTATCCCTTTATTTGTGGTGATTCTGGAGATTCTCAATTGTAATGCGCTCTGACTTGCTTTTTTGTCTAAAACTCTCTTGAATTCTGCCTTTTGACTTTTGTGTGTTAACTGCTGTTACTGAGTTGCTTGTGTTGGGTTGTACTTCAATGAAACTTCTTAAAGGGAGTAAATATGCTTGGTTTTTCTACTTTCAGTTGTTAGGAGCTCTTGATTGAAGCTGTTTTTGTTCAGTTATCAGTAACTTATTCATATCCACCCCTGTCATTAACAATATGACCACTGGATGTGTTCGTGGTTCTCTTTTGTTTGTGCTTTTGGCTGTTATTCTTCATAAGATAAATAGATATATTTCTCTCCTGTAAGCCGGATATGACTTAGTATATATGATCTGCCTTCTTTTGGTTCCCAAGCTTTCTCCTTATTTTGTCCTGTGTTTTGGAATGTTAGGCAGCTTGGGTTGCTGGACAATATGCTCATATTAACTTCTCCGACCCCAATAATTTCCGGAATGCATTGCACAGTGTTGTTGCCGGAATGCGGGATCCTGAACTCCCAGTTCGTGTTGATTCGGTTTTTGCATTGCGTTCTTTTGTGGAAGCCTGTAAAGGTTCTAGATTCTAACATCTGTTCTGTATAGTAGTATGTCAGTGACTGTTCAAGGTTATCAATACCTTCTAATTTTTGTATTTTTTTTTCCTTTTCCCAGAATTAGATGAAATTCGGTCAATTCTTCCCCAGCTACTTGATGGTATGCATTCTATAGACACAATTTTCGTAGACATGCCCACTACTGTAAATCTCACTCACTTCAACACTTGTTGATCTCAGAGTTTTTCAAACTCATGAATGAAGTCGAGAATGAAGATCTTGTGTTTACACTAGAGACTATTGTAGACAAGTTTGGAGAGGAGATGGCTCCCTATGCTCTTGGATTGTGTCAGAATTTGGTATGTTCATTTACTTATGTTTAATTGGTGTATACCACCTTGACTTTTAAAACTCCACATCTTTCTGCTATTTAGGCTGCCACATTTTGGAAGTGTCTCAATTCTTCTGAAGCAGATGAGGAAGGTGATGACCCAGGCGCATTGGCTGCAGTTGGTTGTTTGCGAGCTATAAGCACAATTCTTGAGTCGGTTAGCAGCCTACCTCATCTCTTCGTGCAGATTGAGCCAACACTACTCCCAATAATGCGCAGGATGTTGACTTCTGACGGACAAGGTACTCTTGCTTCTTTTAGGGAGTTAAATTTCAGTGTCAGTGTCGTCCAACAGATCATGTCCTTTAAGATAATCAAGGAAGAGTATCCATTTATGCAAATTCGGGAGTAATAGGGGCACAAGCTTCTTCTGCCCTTAACATATTTTTCTGTGAACTAGTTACAACTTTTATTTGTCTCTCTACATCATAGGTGAGGATGGCAGTAATCATGAAGATATGCTCTGGACTACTTATAACATTTTTATCAACTATAAAGAATAGAGTTAAACATACATACAGAGGGGTGATGGATATGAATGCTTAAGATCAAATTAGCCCTTTTGGATCTTTACAATTTTTTGAACTGGAAAAACCTTACTGTTTAGGTCCTTTATGTATTCAGGGTTCTCTGCTTTCTCATTAACATTTTTTTTTCCCATCGACCGGTAGCTTTGGCATTCCATATTTCCCACATCTTGGGTGAGGATTGCATTTTCTGGATAATTATTAAGTTATGCTTTGAATTACTCAGAATGGTTTCATTAAGAATAAAGAATTGAGTTAAATATACATCTGGAGTGATGATGGATATAAATGCTGACAATCAAATCTAGTTCTTTAGGATCTTTACAATTTGTACAGCGAACTCTTGTATGTTTTCAGAGCTCCGCTTTCTCATTAATATTAATTCTTTCCATCAATTGGTAACTCCAACATTCCATTATTCTCTTTTGCAGAGGTCTATGAAGAGATACTTGAAATTGTCTCATATATGACGTTTTTCTCTCCAACCATATCACTGGAAATGTGGAGCCTATGGCCATTAATGATAGAAGCACTGGCTGATTGGGCCATTGATTTCTTCCCAAGTATGTTTCCTTATTCTTCTTGGCCAATCTCACTTTGTTTGTATGAAGAATTCTTTTCAGGAGCATATTTGAAATTTTACATAGCCTGTCCCATATGATGGAATAAAGGGATTGCATATTTTACCATTTGGACTAGGAAACAATTTGAAGCCTTATCCTTTATGGCTTCACTTGATGAGATGTTATGTATCAAGTTTCCTACTTCTAGAGATTTCTTTAGGGAACTCTCAGGAGTTCTTAAACTCATTTTTCATCATGTGGACACTTCTGTATTTCCTTGTTTCTTTCGACTATGTTGTGACCTTTGGCTTATTACTTTTTTGATGCAGATATATTGGTTCCCCTGGACAACTACATATCTAGGAGTACTCCGCATTTCCTCAACTGTAAGGAACCGGATTATCAACAGAGCCTCTGGCATATGATTTCATCTGTGAGTGTTTTATTGTCTGTTGTTTATTTGTTCTTTTTGTCTTTTCTTTCATTTTGCTGCATTTTTTGGGCTATATGTTTTTTTATGAAAGAATTTGGTATTCAAGGTACCGTTTGCTTCTTCTGTCATGCAGATTATGAGGGACAAAAATTTGGAGGATGGTGATATTGAGCCGGCACCTAAGCTCATCCAAGTAGTGTTCCAAAACTGCAGAGGTCAGGTAGACCACTGGGTTGAACCCTATATTGGCGTTGCGGTTGAGCGCCTACGCCGAACAGAGAAACCTTATTTAAAGTGCCTGCTGATTGAAGTGGTATGAAACTCTACTTGTGTAACTTAAAGTTAGATCTGTATTTCATCTGAAGTTATCAAGGCACCTTATGCATTCTTTGTGGGTTTAGTTGTTTAGTGAACATTGCTTTCTTTTTCTGCATGGCACATTTCTTGCTTGGAAATGTTCTGTTGCTGTGCAGTTCAGTGTTCATGAAAGTACTCTTGCTTGATTGATTGGCATCTAAAGTGTTTGCTTTTGTTTGATGGCATAGATCGGATAATAATCCTTATCGCATTGCTGATGTTATTCTGAATCATTATACTTTGTCAGAGTGTCATGAAAGCAAATATCTAAAAACACGTTAGAAGGAGCAGATACTTCTAAATCCTGGTGGAGGTTTATAGGGGACTGATGGATTCCAGCATGTTAGAAGTCCTCTGACATTAAATAAATTATTACTAATCTTGTTAAGGTTGAGCTTAAAAAATTTTATAGGTTGGTCCTTGTATGAAATGCTTTCACAGTATGCCTTGGAATAGATAGCATTCGTTTAAATTTAGTTTGTAACCTCAAAGGGGGCAGGACTATGTTCGCACAGAATGTCTTGCATCAAGGAGTTTGCATCCTTTTTCTATAGTTATGATTTTGGGTATATGAATAGTTGTGCCCTACTGCCGTATCTGCTTATTTATTGGACCCCTTCTTGATTTCCTGTAGGTTGCTCCAGTTGCTGAATCATTTATATGAATTCTTCTTTGAAGTTAAATATTGATGACTGTTTTCCTTTGATGCTATTGTAGATTGCTGATGCTCTCTACTACAATGCTTCCTTTACACTCAACATACTGCAAAGGCTTGGTGTTACGACAGATATATTCACCCTTTGGTTCCAGATGCTACAGCAAAAGAAAAAGAGTGGAGCTCGAGCTAATTTCAAAAGGTAGCTTTTTCCTCAAAACTAGATTTTGCACAATTGGCGCATTTCCTGGCCCCCTTGAAGTGGATATATTTAGCTTGCCAAGTATTTTTGCAGGGATCATGATAAGAAAGTATGCTGCTTGGGATTAACATCTTTGCTTCCTCTTCCTGCTGATCAATTGCCTCCGGAGGCATTAGACCGTATCTTCAAGGCAACCCTTGAATTGCTTGCCGCCTACAAGGAACAACTAGAAGGTTTGGAATGCTCTGATTCTTCTCTTGTTTGCATTGCTCTTTCAGAAGTTTCTTAAAAATTATCATATGGGGTCTTTTCTATTCGAGGTTGTATTTTTTTATACATCCCATTGTCTTGCTAATTCTTCATTTCTCTCCTTTTGATTTTTGCAGAGGCAGAAAAGGAGCAAGAGGTCGAAGATATCGATGGTATGGATGGTATACCAACAGATGATGAGGATGATGAGGGTGATGGATCGGGTATGGATGATGAGGATGGAGATGAAGCTAATAGTGCTAAACTTCAGAAAATGGCAGCACAGGTTACACCTGATATTTTTCTTGTAGAGTACCTGGTTTTTTCTTGTACTGAAATTCTCTGGTAGCACTTCTCATCTGTAGCCAAATTTCAAAGTTTGTGACTACCTTGTCCCTTAAGTCTGTAGTATCTTCCGTCCCTCTGAAGCTCTACAACAGTGAACACTAGAAAGTGTTATCTTTTCATTTATATTCATTATTATTGTTGGAATACTAGTGAAGATGGTTGCCTGGAACATCTCGCTAAGTCTAGATGTTTTTGAGTCTATTCCAGCCTTTTTATCCTAAAAAATGTTACTTGTCTTGGTTTCTGGGACAAGTAAATTTGGAACATGGTGAACAAGAGAAAAATAGGATTCCACTTATTGTTATAGCCAACATAGGATGTGCTAACATAATTGCTTTCCAGGCTAAGGCCTTCCGTCTGAATGATGAGGAGGATGACGACTCAGATGATGATTTCAGTGATGATGAAGAATTACAATCACCAATTGACGATGTAGACCCGTTTGTCTTCTTTGTTGATAATATAAAAGGTAACCTAATTTCCTGTTAATATTGTACACAGGTGAAACATGACATTTGTTGACTCGTGTTTATTTTACACTTTGGGTTCAGTTTTGCAAGCATCTGATCCACTGAGGTTCCAAAACCTCACTCAGACGCTTGATTTTCATTACCAAGCACTGGCAAATGGTGTTGCTAAGCATGCTGAGCAGAGAAGAATTGAAATTGAGAAGGAAAAATTGGAGAAAGCATCTTCAGGTGACGTGGCTGCCTCATGAATTTGTTTTGCAGAGGTCTGATTGCTGGATTTGGTTTTGGTTTCAATCTTTCATTGGGGTTATCATCCAATAACGGTGGCAGAAAACCAAGAATTGGGAAGCTCTGAAATATTTTTGGGTCACTGACTTGGAGGTTGGTGATCTTATGGGTAGTCTGGTCCAACTGTGTGTCTGCGGTCCAAGGTTGAGCTTGAGTGGTGGAGTCCAGGCTGCTCCCCCTGCTTTCCGGATGTGTGCTTTGCACTCATTATTCATGTGGACGAGCGATTCTAGATAAGAATCATGCCGTCTTCCAGGTTGTCTTTTAGGGGTGTCTGTAGTTGTACAATCTTTCTTTTTTAATTTTTTTTCCCCAATTTTACAGAGACGGAGTATTTTTTTATTTGTGCCCCGCTGTTTGGTATAGCAGGAAGGGTCCAAATGATAGGAGTGTATTTACACATGTTGTCATCGATATCAAGAGGGTGAGATTTTAGATTTTATTTTCTTTTGAGTTGGAGAGAGCACTAGATTCTTTGAATGGTGCAGTATGCATGAAAAAGGTGTCAGCATCATCGGTCAATTTTGGGTTTGGAAATTTTGCTCGGATGTATGGGTTCGTGTTAGGTTGCAAAAGAATGTAAAATTGGCTTCACATTCTTACATTTGTGTTGAGGGGCCTCCTTAAATTTTGCCATGATAATGATTCTTTCTTTTGTTTGGCAATTTTTCGTACTTTATTATTGATGAAAGTAATGCCAATCGTTGCGGTCGTGCAGTCATTATTTGCGATATCCCTTAAAAGTTCTATTTAATTATTATTGTGAGTGTTAGTGTAGATGAAGTTCTTTCGTTCTGAAAAAGGGGTGCCAGAACTTTTATTCTTTGAATTTTTGCCTTTATTATTTTTCAGGTGAACAAATTAGTACTGAAAGTTTTGCTTTGTTTTGTTTTTTTTTTTTCCCTTTGTTTTAATTTTTTTTTTTGTTCAAAATTAGTCTATTTGGCCGGTCAATATTCTGCCCAAATGTTTTTTTAAGAAAGGAAAATTACAAATTTTCTTCAATTTTTAAAATTTATTATCAATAATTCTCCAATTGTTTCAATTTTTTCCAATTACAACTTCCTCGATTTCTATTAGTCAAATTTTTCTATTCAATAATATAAAAATGTCACTATTGTTTTCTCCTATTTTCCCTCTTTTTTACGGCAAAGAAATCAAAACTATCTCACAATATTTTTCTCACTATTATTTGTTTAATTTTCCTTGGCCCAGAACTAGATCAATTACCAAATTTAATCAAGTTACCTTAGAAATTTTAAAATTAATAAAATAGTATGTAACTAATAAAATAAGTCTAATGAGTTTTAATAAAAGAATACTAAATTAAAGGAAATTTACACAATGAATTTTTAAGAAATTAAATTCAAACGAATCTGTTCATATATATATATATTTATCTTTTTCACTTCATTTATTTACTTTTACCTGATTAACCAATTTTTCCAAAGGTTTCCTATTTTTTGAGTTTTCATCTTTTAATTATTTATTTTATTTCATAAAATATTCATAATCTAATTGTAATTTACCTTATCCACATTTATCACGTAAAAAAGAAAAAATCAAACAGCCAGTGTATTCTAAAAACAAAAAAACCTTCAACCGCTTAGGCGACCTCAACTCCTAACATTTTCATCTTCACCCCAAAATTAAAAATTTTACCTTGATCATTTATGATTTTTGTGATTTGAAATGCTTATATTTGTTGTGTTGATTTTTTTCTTTTTGATTGACGTGAAAAATATGAATAAGGTAAAATAAAATCAAATAGATCGAGATGAACTGTAAAATAAGATGGTAAGAAACGATTACAATAATAATATTTGAAAATTTAGCAATTGAGAAAAATGGTTAGTCAAGTAACATAAAGGATTAGGCTGAAAAGTACTAAGAATAACTATAAATATTTAGTAAAGTTAGTTAGTGACGATTATATGGATAGATTGCACAAGATCCTCTTTGTCACTTTCTTTTTATAGTCCATATTACACACCTCAATAATTTTGAGTGAATTACTATTTTTGTTTATATTTACACGATTTAAAATCACTTTTACTTTATATTTTTTTTAAAATTAAGAACTCATTGCTTTTCAATTTAGGGCCTATTTATTTGATTTTTTTGTCTAAAAATTCAATAAAATTATATTAAAATTTATAAAAAAATATAAAACTGATAGAAAAAAAATTCAAAATGAAAATTATCTACAACGAAGATATAATTTTATGGTATAAATATTAACACTAATTTCAAAATCTAAAGGAAGTAATTAGAATGTGAAAGTTAATTATGCAATAGAGAGTGTCATAAGAAAGTGACACATAAAACCCACTCTTGGATTTTAGTACCAAAAAAAGTTTCAATACTTGCTTGATTTGAATGGAAAGAATAATTGAAATTAGTAATTTAGTACGTTTTTTTTATAAAGAAAATTCTTTAAAATAATAATTTACTAAGTAATAATTTTTTAAAAAAATTAATAAAATCTTCATGAGCTCAACACTATTTCTTTAAAAAAAGTTTTACTGTAGACCACATTTAACAGCTCGATGGGTTTTTGCAGATTGTGTACCAAAGAGTGTGCGCGGCTTGACGAGAATTTTCCAAAGTAGTTTCCAAATTTGAAGTTTAAGCACTACCCTTTGACTAAAAAATTGTACGACAAAAATTGCACAGTTTTGAGTTTTCTACATCTGCATAATTGAGCAAACTTCCATATCATCAAACTTGAATTGAGTTTTCTACATCTGCATGATTGAGCAAATGGCGCACTTTTTATAGCCGACCTCAATAATTTTGGCACGAGGCTATATTCAACTTGCACAACAAGAAAATACCCATATTATGACATAAATGTCAAGGCATAATTAAGAAAATTCCTTGATAGAATTGACATATAAAGGCATTATTTATAAAATGACATAATAGATGGTCAAAGAAGGTATTTTAATTTTTTTTAAGTGCACTAAAGTTTTAATGACACACTTAAGAAGGCACTTGTAAAAGAAAATAAAAAGCTCACCCACCTAGTGAATAAGAGTAAAATAATAATTAATTTTTTTAAAAAAAAAAAGTAAAAAAGAAAACCAGCCACGGCTTTACCCACCCCTAATATTTTATTGTAACTCAGCCTAAGAATACGTAGATTTCCTCCCTGGAGAACGTATCAAAGGCTCTCGGCAATTCCGTCTCCGTCGTCCGCGATAAAGCTAAGATCACCGTCACCACCGACTCCAACTTCTCCAAGCGGTAAAAATCTCTTATTCCTTTGAAATTTTCTCTTTAGAGCATGATGTTTTTGATTCTGTAGTATTTCGCCTCACTTTCAAAAATCCTATTAATTAGTAAAGAAAATTTAGGGCATTTATAGTGAAGAAAATTTAGGGATTTGGTGTGCATATGCCTTTTTGATAAGGGTTCAGTATGTCCTACACAGGAGTGCGCGGCCTCGTCTTCCCAATTCGTCACGGCAGCAGCATCTCAATACCCTGATCATTCTGGGTTCTTGCGATCATACGACAGAAAATGATCAATTTGTTGAATGTGCTTCAGATGGAGAGATTTAAGCCTCGGTTTATATTGTTGTTGCTACTGACAATATGATTCTTTAGAAGACACAAGTTCTAGAAATCTCTTTGCTCGACCAGGGAGGAAGGGAAGTTGTGGGATCAGCTTATTATATGCAGATCTATTGAAGCAGAGAGGTTGATCAATCTTATATAACTTCTGTTGGTACCACATTAATTGCTATAGCTCATGCATTGTGTCTAATGATAAAGAATAGGCCTCAAGTGATTCTGGTGCAATGGACAAAGAACGTGCATACCTATATGTATGATCGCTTCTATTTTTAAGATTTTTGGGATTAGGTGGTATATTTTATTTGTTGAAAGCATTGCTAGGGTAAAGAGACTTTCTTTGAGTGCGTTACTTCTCTACAAACTGCGTATGGCTGATCATTTATTTGTGCAATTGCCGCAATTGAAGACCAAATATCCTAGAGCTCATTTTGTTGGCCGTCTTATGTAACCTGTGTTACTTCTGTATTTATATGGAATAGGTAGATGATGAATTGGGACGAAGAAAAAAAGATGTGGAATGAATTTGGCCAAGAAGGGTTAAATTTTATTAACATAGCTTAGCAATGTTAAAGGTGTCGTTTCAGAATGATAACAGGGCAAAATTTTCGGACACTCAGGTTGTGAAGGCTCGTTACATTAGTAATTTTGTCTTGATTTCTAATTTTTATTTGTTGTTCACTGCTTGCATTCCATGGGAATTTGGTAGTATTAGGTTTGGGAACCATTACGTAGGAAAAAAAAAATAGAAACCAAGATTATAATAATTAGGAAAATAACTTAGTACTAGTGATTAAATTCCAGGCCCATGTTTCCATTTTAATAGAACCTCTTTTGGAATTGATCTTTTCCTTTTTGAATCAGACCCAAGTAACCATTTGAGAATGGTCCTGGTTACTTTTAATTTGATCCAATTTGATCTATAGTATAAGGCCCAAAGCCGCCTTCTTATTCTTCTCCTAGTTTCATCTGCTTTCCAAAGTCAAATGAAGAAAAATTCAGAAACTACTCATTCCAGAATTTTACTCATCTTCATCTCCAATCCACTTGGTGGATGATTCATTACACTTAAAACAAGTTCATTCTTATCTTCTCCTATTCTATCCATTGAATTTTATTCGCTTCTTCACTCTAAAGTAGCAGATTAAAAAAAAGAAAAAAAAAGAAAGAAAGACAAACCAGAGGAAGTAAGATTCTAGTAAGTTTAACATCCCATTTGTTCTATTATAGAGTCCCGTAATAAATGAGTGCTTAGGAGCTGCAGCTGCTTCATTGTAGAATTTTTGGTTTAAATAAAAAGAAAGGAGAAGTAGTAGCCGTGAAGGCCAGCTTGTGTGGTAGCTAAAACAGTAACATCGAGCTTTGACTTATATTTTGGTTTGTTTAGAACTCAAATAAAACAGGAAAAAAAAGAGAAGCAAAATTATTGCTCTCCATTTTGTGCAGCTGATTACAGAACTTCTTTTTGGTTCTGTTTTATATCATTTTACTTGTATTTATTTTTATTTTAAATTATTTTTATTATCCTGAGTCCTAGCGCGACTAGGCAGACGCTCGACTAAGTTACCTTAATGGATAGGGGTTTAGTTGGAGCGTTACACAGGTGGTGTTTACTTCAAAGTTCTTCTCTCAACTACGATGTGGAGGAACAGAACGCGCTGGTCAAAGGGTCCTTCGATTTTGTTCTTGGAATCCAATTTAGTGTTTTTCATGATGTAAAGGTATGAAGTTTGTTACTCCCTCTGTCGCAAAATTATTGTCCAGTTTGATATTTCACTTTTAGTACAATTTGAACTAGAAATGAAAACCAAAACTGGACAATAATTATGGGACGGAGGGAGTATATTTTTATTCCAGAATAGTTATAATACGGTAGGTAGTTCTTCAATTGTAAGGGATACTTTTATATGCTTGTTTTGAAGCTTGGACGTTATTATGATTAGGGTATTTGTGGTATTTGTATCTACGCATGTTACTCCATTTGATTGTATGAAGCTGCGTGATATTGAGGTTTTATGGTTCTCGGAATGGTGAGGTTTGGTGCCATTTGGGTGTGTTTAGTTTCGAATTTGATGTTGGTCTTTTGGACTACTTGAGAGAGGAAAGTTTATATCTTGGACTAGGTTTATCACTCAACTCATGGCTTCTCAATCTCAATCCAAAGCACTGCTTTGTATATTGTTATCGATATTCTAGTTTTACCTGTCCAAATGGGTGTTCCTTTTGGGAATAGGGATTCTGACACTACTGAATGTTTGTTCCTTCATGTGGGCTTCCGGACGTTTTCCTTCGGAAGCTATATTTTCATTCATTTGTGTTTAGAATAGGGCTTGTATAACATGTTTTAGTATTGTTCTTATTTTATTTAAAGGAAGAGCATCGGGATGTCCTTATCATTGTATGAGATTATTGCTGTTACTTCACTGAAGTTTAATTCTATTTCATGTTACCTCTGGGATTAACACATGCGTATTTGTAATCCCAACTCTTTTTTTTTTTTTTTTTCTTGATAATACTTTTGCTAAGCGTTCTAGCTAGACTGATATGTAGTTTTGTTCTTTGTGCTACTCAGATACTTGAAGTACATGATTAAGAAATACTTGAAAAAGAGCAACGTGCATGATTGGCTTCGTGTGAGTACATCCAACAAATATCGAAATGTTTATGAGTTGTGGTACTTCAACATTGCTGAAAATGAAGCTGAGGAAGAAGATTAATCGCATTGGTGTAGGAGGCTACTTTTCTTATTTGCACAACTTTGTACTAGTTAATACTCTGTAATTGTTTTTTGGTTTGGGAACTTAGAAATTTTTGAAGTAAAGTGGTTCCTCATTTTGACATGCTTCAGTTTGTTGTGGTAATGAAAGTGCATTCTCTAGGGAAAAAAAAGTATACTATCGTCAATAGGCATTTATATTTGGAAATTTTTTTTTTATATTGAAAAAAGGGGTTTTAATGTGTATTGGCACTTTTAAATGCCTTTATAAAATGATCAATGATGACTCACTTATAAATGATTAAACAGCAGAAAAATTAATTAGATATAATGACACTGTATAGTTAAAAAGTTGTTTCACAGTAAACTAATTAAATAGTAAAAAGTTAATAAGTAGTAAGAAAATAATTTGATTTCCTGAAATTAAATGGTAAAAAAGTTACTAAATAATAAAATAAAGAATTAGTTTTAATGGCATTTACAATTGTCACAATAAATCATTACACCTATGGTGACATGAGTATATACAACACAAGTGGTCAATGTCTTTAAAAGTTTCATGTCACCATAGCATACTTATAAAGACACTATTTATTGCCTCTGTATGCCCTTTTTCTTGTAGCGTTGGACGAACCCCATCACTTTCACACATGTTGATTTTGATCTTTTAGTTATGTTCTCTATAATAATCTCTTAATTATGTTCTCTATAATAAAAGATCAAATATGTGGGATTAATATTTATAGCGTTACTTCGGTGCCAAAAAAAAAAAAAATCAAAACCTAGTTGTTTTGCCAAATTTTTTTTTCTAAATTATTGATTTTTCTATTCCGATCACTACGTGAAGTGATTCCTGATAGAACAAGCAATCCACACTTAACCAAACATTTTGTAGACCATCCAAATTTCACTACCATTATGGATTCTAATCTTCACTTCATGCTTATACTCTTGATGATCATCCCTCTTTTCCTTCTACTAGTTGTTGGAAAGAGAACTCATAACCGACTTCCTCCTGGTTCAATGGGATTGCCCCTTGTAGGTCAAACTATTGCACTTATGAAAGCTATGAAAGCCAAAAAAGGAGAAGAATGGCTTGTGGAGAGTCTAAGGAAATATGGTCTTATCTCCAAGCTTGGCCTATTTGGGAAACCGCCTTCATTCATGGTCCAACAGCCAACAAGTTTTTGTACACTTGTGATGGAAACACGCTCGAAAATCAATAACCGGCATCGATTAGAAGGATTTTTGGCAAAAGAAATCTCATAGAAATGAGCCATGAAGATCACCGGCGTGTGAGGGATATGCGCTTATGACATTCTTGAAGCCAGAAGCACTCAAACGATGTGTTGTTAAAATAGATGAAGAGGTTAGAATGCGCACTCAAGGCACATTGGCAAGGAAAACGAGAAGTCGCGGTATGTTATACTAATAACTCTCTCCGTCCCATTTTAATCGATAATACTACTTTTATGATTTCTTTTTGAAAATAGTACCTGCATGTTATTATAATAAACCTAGACTATTACAATGCATTTTGTAATAAGCTAAATTGTGTACATCAGAAATATCGGATCTACAAACTTTAATCAATTCACAGTAATCAAATGAATCAATAAGCGTTACTAAAGATGGTACTATATCTTGTATCTCTAGCGGAATTTGGTGATCCCGGAGATCGGTAGTTAAAAATTCACAGTCCGTATGAACTTTAACTCTAGTCAGATCGAGACCTAAAGCATTTTGGAGTGTCAAAAGGCATGTCATGGTTTTCGTTTGTAGCAGAGATGTAGCTTGGATATTTGCAGTGCCAACCTCCAGTAGCATATTGAGAGGTGAAACTATTGTCAATGCTCCTGCCGCACAAGAGTTCGTTGGATTGAAAGATCCATCCATGTTAATTACTGATGAATTCCGACTTTATGCAGAGCCAGTGGTTTTGGATTGAGCGTATAGTCGATTTCTCAATTGTCTCCTATGAGTATTGAAGTCCAATTGAATCACCCTCCAGAAGTCAATTGGGTTAGAAGTCTGATTACGCCAAACTTTGTTATTCCTCTCCAACCATATGTGCCATATAATGAGAAGAAACAAGTCCACATCTTCCTTGGGTGGAGTCTTCTATATCTAGTCCACAAAGACCTAGAAGATGGATGAGTTCGGGTTTGATGATATTGTGGTGAAGGAAGGTGGAGCCATATTCCAAATTAGCATGGACTCAGTGCAGGTAAAGAATAGATGAAGACTGTCTTCATCCACAGCTCCACAACGCGGACAGATTGTATCCATCTGCACTCCCCTTTTAACCAAAGCTGAATGAGTTGGTAAAGCATCATAAAGTGCTCGCGAAAAGAGTGTTTTCTGTTTTGGTTGGACTGAGGAATTCCAAAGTTTTTTCCAAGCCAAGGCTTCATATGAGTTCTATGGAGAAGAAGATCCTTGTTGTCTGTTCAGGGTTATTTTGTAACCAGATTTAACTGAGTATTTTCCATGTGGAGTATGTAACCATCTTAGGCAATTTGGCTGCTGCAAGCAATCAGGATAAACATGTATACTGGTGATGGAAGATATGAGATGGTCTTGGAAGATATTTCGGAGAAAATTCCTGTTTCATTGACCTGAAGGGTGAATAAAATATTGAACCCGAAAACTCGTACGTGCTGCTAGTATAGAGTTTCTTTGGATGGGATTGGCATGGTTTGGTATCTAGTCATCCACAATCCTGATATCTCGGCCTGAGACAACCTGTCATTTAACATTTTGTTCCAAAAGTTGCTTTCCCCACAATATACTCTTAAAACCCCATGATGAATTATTTGGTGGGTGAGGTGGTGGAAAAATGCCATTGACACAATATTTGGCTTTGTGAATTGTGGATATCAAGGATTCCGGCATTGCCATAATTTTCCAAGCATGCTTGGCCAAGAGCGCCTAGTTAAACTCCTTTGTAACTTTCAGACCCAAACCTCCATGGAATTGTGATTTTGTAACCGTTTTCCATACCCTCTAATGTATACCTTTCTCATAGGAGTCGCCTTTCCAGATGAAATTGCCTATGATACTGTCTGCTTTCTGTAAGATAGATGCAGGAAGCTTAAAGACACCCATGGGATAAACAAGCATGAACAACAGTGTGGATTTTGCTAAGGTAATACGCCCTGACATTGTGAGTAACTTGGTTTTCTAGTTTGCAAATTTTGAAGATAACTTGGCAGTGAATTGTTGAAAGATGACTTTTAGTTTTCCTGGAAGTCCAGATTCAAACCTAAATACCTACTTTGGAACTGACCTTGAGGGATCTTAGGGTGGAGTGGAGGAAGTTACTGACTTCTGGTTTTGTGTTAGGACTAATGAGGATTTAGGATTTGTGGAAGTTACTTTCTGACCGGAGAATGCCATGTACATTTCAATCAAACCTGCTAAGGCCTGAATGGCATCTTCTTTACATTCCACAAAAAATAGATTGTCATCTGCATACATGAGGTGACTCAGTCTGGGGGCATCTCTACTTACTTTGATTCCCAACCTTGGAAAGGAGCAGATCTCTGATTTGATAGCTGAGGATAAGATCTGTTGGCAGAGGATAAATAGATAAGGAGATAAAGGACATCCTTGATGCAAACCTTGATTTCGAGAGAAGAATGGTAAGCTTTCACCATTTAGCTGAATTGAGAAAGACACTGTAGACACACATTGCATGATCAATGCAATTATGTTGCTGGAAAATTTGGCCTCAATTAAAATCTTCTCTAAAAAGGGCCAAGAAACCCTGTCATATACTTTACTCATGTCCAATTTAATGACAACTAGACCCAAATCTCCATCCTTTCTTCTAATGTGCTCCACTAGTTCATGAGCCAATAAGATATTTTCAGTGATATTTCTTCCTGGGACAAAGCCGTTCTGGTTTTCGTCAATGAGATCATTCATGAAGGGCTTGAGTCTGTCGGTAATCATCTTGGTGACAACCTTGTACTTGACATTGCATAAGCTGATTGGATGAAAATCATTAGAAGTAACAGGATTGGAATTTTTGGGGATGAGGATCAAATGAGTTTGGTTCCATTCTAGAGGAAGATGCTGATTTGTCACAGCATCCAGTATGGTGGAAGATACATCTTCATCAATAATATTCTTGTACTTTTGGTAGAAGCCGGTAGGAATACCATCAGGACCTTGAGATTTCCACGGTGCCATTTGTTGGAGAGCTGCCCATACTTCCTGTCGAGAGAAAGGTTGTGCTAAAGCAGCAATCTGTTCTTGTGAGAGTACCTCATCAACATTTTGCAAGAGATTCTCTAGATATGGGGAATGATCATCACTCAGCTGGGGGGTAGTGGCAGTGTATATATCAGAGAAGTGATCTTGCAGTAAATTACCAATCTTAGTGGCATCTTGTAACCAAGTTCTATTGGAGTCTTGAAGCTCAGTTATCCACTTGTTTCCTTTTTATCTTGTCGCCCATTTATGGTAGTACTTATTATTTCTATCACCTTATCGTGACCAGTTTAATTTGGTCCTCTGTCGCCAGTACTCATTCTGATGTGTAAGAGCTTCCTCTAATTCTATCATGGTGTCCATTAGGAGCTGAAAATATTGATCATTAGACTTATTCAGTTCCCACTATTGTTGGTTGGACATGAGCTTTTCTGACAGTTTTTAACATAACTATCAATCTGTCCAAATCATTCCTTGCTCCGTTTATGTAGGCTGGAAAGACTCTTATTCAATTTGTGGGATAAGGATGGATCATCCTCATTAATGTGAGATTGTGAGAAGGCTTGTTCTATCAATTCAGTTGATCTTTCACATCTAGTCCAAAATTTCTCAAATCTAATCTTAGGTTTTCTTTTCTTTAAACGTTTGAGTTCTAATACCATTGGGCCATGATCAGAATGTAGTATTGGAAAATTCATAATTAGAGCTGATGGGAAGAGGTCTAACCATTGTGATGAGGTAAATGATCTATCCAAACGCTCAAAGATGGCTTCTGTGTCTTGTCTTTTGTTCGTTCATGTGAACCAGCATCCGAGATGTTTAAGCTCTTCCAAACAATGGTGAGCTAGAAGATCCTTGAGTGCTCTTGTATCATTATCTCATACCTGCGGCCACCATATTTGTCTTTCTGGTTGATAACTTGGTTAAAATCACCTAATATTACAAATGGATAACATAAAGTACTGATGGTGTTATTAAGTTCTACCCAAAATGAGGATCTGCCTTGGAGAGAAGGCAATCCATACAAAAATACAGTCACCCACACTAATCCTGTAGCCTCTGTGATTTTGGCCACAATATAATTCGAGGTCTGTGCAAGTATTGTTAAACTAACACCATCACACCAAAATCGGGCCAGAAAGCCACTTTTCCCTAATGCAGATCTACTAAGGAATGTTTAAAGACAGAAGCCTACTACCACCCATTAACTACAACACTACTAGACTTAGTCTCCATCAAATACATAATACTAGGATTATATTGTTTAGATAACCTACTACTAAAATTTTTAGTTAAGGCATTGTTCATGCCTCGACAGTTCCAAGAGATGAACTTTATTGGGGTGAAGGCAGTTGTTCTGGTACAACCGCCACAACACCATTCAGCTTAGTAGGCTTCTTGAGCAACATCTAGACTGGGGACCTGTAATGCTTGTTCTAGAAAAAAAATTCCTTCATGATCACTATTATCATCAAAGTGAATCTCCCTGCACTTGGACATCCTGCTTTGTTCAACCCCGGAATCATCATATTGACGCTTCCTGTATTATGTATTTGATGAACTCTAGACCAACACAGAAGAGTTGACATATAATCAATTAGTAACAACCACATTCTATACATAAGTCAAACCCCCAGAGAGGCATGTTAGAATCAATCAGGAGAGGAGAGTTGTCTCGCACAGCCTTCTGGAAGAAATAGTTGTCCAAGAAAGCCTCCAAATCAGAATCAGATGCCATATAACATCTTTGGCAAGGAGGGCCTAGACGACCACACCGCTTGCAGAATGTAAGAACGTTTTCATACTTGCAGCTGATCTTGCCCAATTTGCCATTCCTTTTAATGATATGGAAGTACGGAGTGAGCGGATCTCCCGACTTAACCTAGACTTTAGCTCTGACATAAGTCTCCTTTCGGAGAGAAACGCAGTCTTCCTTCACCAAAGCTACTTCTCCAACTCGCTTAGCAAGATATCAAACTCCACCATAGTACATCATCGAAATTGGGACTCCATGCATGCGTACCCACAGACTCAATTTATCAATGCAAATGCTATCAAGAGCTAGATCTTCGTGGTCATAGCATCTCCTGAGAAACAGAAGACCACCCTCAACTGCATAAGGTCCATTATCCAGGATGGTTAGCAGATCCTCTCTACTCCTAAACTTAATGACAAAGAAGTTTCTGTCATAGTGCAAGATTCACGCATTCATCGGCCAATACTCATTGATATAATTCTGGAGTCAAACATCATCGAATTCCCTGTCATCCAACAAATAACCAAGGAGAGATAACTTCAAGTTTTCCCTGGAGATCCAAGTGTGCGCATCTATGACATGCATGTTGGTGGTGTGTATATGAGAAGTAGTGATGAACTCCGGATGAGCATCGATTCCTGGCTGGAAGTCTTAGCCTTCTTCTAAGAATTCAGATCCATCAATGGACATTGCTGTGACCAAATTTTCTCCCATTGCATGTCAATAACTCATCTTTAAAAGGAAAGAGATGGTAGATTACTTATGAAAATAAATAGCAAGGATGGAATCTATTTGGCAGGCGATTTGTAGATTGGGATGAAGTTAAAGAGGTAGATTTGTTTGGTAGTTTTATGGAAAATAAAGGGGAAGAAGACAAGAAGACAGAGGAATATTAATATTCTCTGATCAATACTCGTCTAGAGCCAAACGAGAATTTAGCATAGTATTAAAGACGGATGACTCAATTTTGTTTAATGGTCCAGTGACCTTGGAAGTTGAATGGAAATTTGGGAGACTAACCAGTCAGAGGAAGGTTGAAAAGGAAGTAAAAAGAAGTTACTACTTTTATGATGAGTTAAATGAAATGATATATTTTAACATGTTTTTTTTTTTTATTTTTATTTTTTCTCATTTCTTGATACATGATGTAGACATTGCCATGCATGAAGACCTTAACTTTTGACTTGATTTGTTCTGTTGTATTTGGAATGGATCGGGACAAAAGAAGAGATTTACTTGTAGAACATATTGAGAGAGCTATAGATGGAACTTATGCACGAGAAGCGAAGAGCATTGGCCAAAAATGCTTTTTGCAGTAATCAAGATCTAATAACTAGCTTACTTAGCATCCATGATGAAGAGGTTTACCTGTTTTATCTGATGAGGAGGTTATGGACAACATATTTGTTATAATGATGGCAGGATATGACGCAAGCTCCATCCTCTTAACATTTATGGTCAAGATTTTAGCTAAAGATCAATCAATTTATGAAAAAGTTGTTCAAGGTAAGGCCTAATGATGCACACCCTTCAATAGAATCTAACTACTCCATCTGTCCTAGAATAAGAATCTTGTTTTGAACTAAAATAGTGCGCAAGAAGCATGACTTTTTATCTTCTTTTTTTTTTTTGTGGGATGGAAGGATACAATATCTAACATTCATGTTTTAAATTTAAAATGTGTATGATCTTATTATACATGCTAGAACAAGTGGAAATTGCCAAATCCAAGGAAGATGAGGAGCCATTAAGTTGGGACGATTTTCCGAAAATGAAATACACATGGAGGACAGCAAAGGAAGCTTTAAGAATATATATTCCATTATTAATGTTCTTCACACAAGCTGTAAAAGATATTGAGTTTGATGGATATGTAATTCCAAAGGGTTGGCAGGTACGAATATTAGAGACCTAAAATCTTATTTTTTGATTCACAATTTAGAAGTACTCCCTCCATTCTGAAATTATTATCCACCTTGGATTTTTATTTTTAGTACAAATTGAACTAAAAGTGACATTCTAAACTGGACAATAATTTTGGGACAGAGGAAGTATATGCATAGAGTTTTACTTTTACAAATGCAATGAATTACACTCATGTCTCAAATAACTGTGTCATGAGTAATTAATTGGCATTCGGATTAACTAGGTGAATCCCATCAAAAAGTACCTCATACTAATCATGTGTACATTTAAATACAGGTGTTTTGGGCATCCTGCATGACGCATATGGATGAGAATATCTACCAAGATCCGACAAAGTTCGATCCATCAAGGTTTGAACAAGGGAAAAACTGTCCATTTAGTTTTGTGGGGTTTGGAGGGGGAGCAAGAAGTTGTCCTGGGAATGAATTTACTAGGATTGAAACACTGGCTATGATACATTATTTGGTAACTAGATTCACTTGGAAGCTATCTCCTTCACACGATGATGATGATGATGATGATGATTCCTTCGTCAGAGATCCACTCCCAGTTTTCAATCATGGATTATTGATCACTCTTGAGTCCAATTTGAAATCATCTTCATGATCCTATCAGTTGTTGGACGGTTTGTATAAATCAGAGCTGGATGATTTTCAGCAATTGTAATGAAGTTTCTCTCTTATTTTTTTTAAAAAAAATATGCAGACAAGTGCAAATGTCTACTTCTAGTATACTTGTCATTAGCACGTAAGCATTATTAATTACTACAATCAAAACCTCGTATCCTGACTTGTATTTTATCTGGTATTTGCGAATTAATACTGCCTCTGACCCTCTGCGTCACAAAAATAACATATTTTAGCTTGTAATTTGTATTCATAAAAACAGTACGATTTAAAGTTTTCAATATAAACTTTTTCTTTTAGGGACAAAAGAGAGGGTGGGGAAAACTAATGTTAGAACTTAGAACACGGTCATTATCGGTGTTTTCACCTACTAAATGTAATATTTAATTTTTCTTTTTAGATTTTATCAAGTTAGAGAATTAGTTTCTCATTCATAATTGTTCTTTTCAGATTTTAATCATTACTTCATTCCCTGTGTACAATTTGTGCTATCAAACGTTTCGTGTAAATTAGTTTGTATTTGGATAGATTGTCCACGTTTTTATTATAAAATATTTAATTTTTACTAAATTTTATTTAGTATATTATTGTAATTGAAAATAAAATTTTAAATATATATATACATATTTGGTGAATTAAAAATTATATTTTCACATTTATTGTGTTCTCTCAATTAATATAAAATATTTTAAGATTTTATTTTTATTTGGAAGAACATACTAAAACATATGACAAATCAAAATCCCTTATAATAAAGACCAGAGAGAGTATGTACTGATCAACGAACATTTTGGAAAAAAAGAAAGCAACAGAAAAAAGAAAAAAGGAATAAAGAGGAGCGTTTAGCATCTTTTTTTTTTTTTACCATTTTCAATTTTTTTTTACTATTTATTATATTCGAGTTGGACTTAACAAACTTGAAAAACTAGACCTAAATAAAAAAATAATAATATAAGAAACGATTAGTCACGATGAATACCGTGTCATTCAACTAGAATTTTAAAACAAATTCAACAAACCATTAACCATTTGATGTTTTAATAAACTCCCTCGAGTTTTTTCTAAGATAACCCAAAGCATTAAATTATTTGCTTGAGTAACTCAAATTCAAATCAAAGTCCTTTAATAATGTTTTGATGTGAAAAGCACAATCAGCCGTTGTTGATGTCATCGTCTTATTCTTGGAAAAAATGGCGATCCTACCCAAAGTTTTCCTCCTGACGTCAATCGTACCCAATTGATTTTTGCAAAGCCTATATCATCCGTTTATTTCGATTTTTCGCCAATTTCATTCAATTGACCGATTTTCCATCTAAGATAACGCTTTTCTGACCTTTCCGTCAACTCCTCATTTTTTATTAATAAAAATTTTCCCTGGGCCCTTTCGTTCCAATTTTGGCCCAAATTATACCTGATTATCACTAATTATGTTGGGTCTATTTTGGAGGGAAATTTCCCACCAAAAAATTTGTGGGCCCACCTCGGCCCAAATTTTTTTTTCTTTTAACCCTGTATAAATAACCTAGTTCATCTTCTCCTCTTTCCTTAAAAATTTTTCACCGTCCTCTTCCTCCCTCCTGAAACTGAGCAAAACAACAATCATCCATGGTGCAATTATGTAATTGTGGAAGCCCTGCAGCTCTGCGCACTTGCTGGAGAGGAAACAACTTGGGCAAAAGGTTTTTGGCTTGTCCTCATTGGCCAGATCCTGGTGTATGCAACTATTTTTCTTGGCTAGACCCCTAGCTGGAGTTAAGAGCACGTATAATCATTCAACGTCTACTTAGGAGGATAAATGCTAATAGGGAAAGGATGAACATCTTGGAGGCCGAGAATCAGAGATTGCAAAGGCGTCAAGTGCGAATTTGGGCCTTTGTTTTTGCTGCTGTGATTGTGGTGGTGTGTTTGAGGAGATAATCGGTATCTTAAGCAATATTAGCATTCAGGTTGGGTATCTTGTGTAGTTTATTAAGGTACTTTCAGATCTTGTTACGAGGTAAAAGCAAGATCATTAATCAGTTAGGGCTTAATCAGTTAGAGTGTTAGTTAATTAGGTGGTGTGATTTATGGCTTAATTAGTTATGTAGAGATGAAGCACTTGTACCCTGTTCTGATTTCGTTTGGACTGGTGAAATAGAATGGAATGCGTTTTGTTGTGCAAATTTTTTTTCCAGCAGATATATAAAGAACTTGTTCAATCATTTTGTACTTAGTTCTGTTCTGCTTTTACATTTTGGGAATTCGACAAAAAATTGGTTTTAGTTTGGACAAAATTGGCGAAATTTCTAAAACAACTGGACACAATTGGCCAAAAATCTTAAAATTACTGGACAAAATTGGCCAATTTTCTGAAACAACTGGACACAATTGGCCAAAAATGTCCACTTAGTTGTCGATACCAACCTGCATTCGCATCATGGGTTATTTTCACAGATGAATCACAATTATAAACAAAACTATAAAAGTGCATTTCATTTGAAGGCGAAAACAGTTTGATATATTAAATAAGCTTGCCTCTCAAGTAAACATGAATACATTATGTAGTTCAATCCATGTAGTACGACAAAATACCCAAGTTCGAACAAAAGCGCTGCCTTCAACGCAACCTTGCAGCCCTAAATACTAAGAAAGGAATACAACCAAATAATTACTTCTGAATAGACTTTGTGCTAAAATTTCCTTCAAAACGTTTACCTTTTCCATCAAAACACTGAGGTCCTTGGTACAAGTCATAAAGAGCTTTAGAACTTTTCACATGTGGAACATCACCCAATAACTTATGAACATTTGCTTGGAGTTTCTTGAATTGTGCTATTGCATTCGCAGCGAACTCCTTGTCATTCTTGCATTCTAGTGGGTTATGAACTGGAGAAGGGGCATTTGGCAGTCCAAAAGTTTCTCGAAAACTCTTTTTAGTTTGCACTTTGTCTGTGGTTGGATCTTCATCTATGTTCTCATCAACCAGTTTGATGGCAGCTTGTGAACTTGATTTTCTCTGCGTTGGTTCTTTTACAGATCGGCGAACCCTTTTCTCAGCTTGGGATGAGCTAGTAGCCTGTCAATATTTAGACTATCTTATTCAAATTATTCCGAAATCAAGTAATACAAGTGGTATATTTTTCAGAAAATAGAAAAAAAAAACTACACAAACCTTCACTTTTCTCTTTTTCGTTTTCTGTGTAGGATTTGTATGAACAACATTTCTTCTAGCTTGTTTCTCTGGAATTATAATTACAGGGACTTCACCTCTTGTAGCCTTATCAGATCTCTTTGGTGGATTAGATCCCATATGTGTCATTGGTCTGATTAGTTCATCAGTATATTGTAAAACCGCAACATCATGATCCAGTTTCTGTTTTCCCACCTGTTACACATGTTTAGTACTGCAGTGATTTCCAAGGTTTTCAATAAACTAAATGTTCACTAAATGAAACTTATCCCATTATACCTATGCTTTTAAGTACTTAAAGTCATGCATTACATTATCAGCTGATTCAGGAGCTGCATGCTTGTTAATTTCCACCTAAAAACATCATGATGTTAGTATGACTGTGTAAAGTATAAAGTAATGGATAATTGAATGACCTTAAAACAAAAAATTACCTCAGCAGTGTCCTGCCATAGCTCAACATCAAGATCTATAATGCTATCTAGATTCAGCGTTTGTAAACTCAAATCAGCATCATACTGCACCTCTGTATTGCACAACCCATCACTAACAGGCACAATATGAGTTATTTTACATTTCCAAAAGTTCTTCTGTCGACGATTTCCAGAAGTTTGACCTAAATCATGAACTTCAGTAGACAAGTTCTCCTGTGGATAATTTTCAGAAGTTTGACCTAAATCATTTCGAGGTGGATCTTTGCATGACCTTACATTGTGACCCCGTCTGTCACACTTGCTGCAGTGATTTCTTTGACCCTTCTTAGATAGTTTGTACTCTTTATTTTCCTGATTGACTAATATTTCAGCAGTGGATCTTCTCCTCTTGGTAGTGGGTCTGCCTTTCACCTTTTGTCTAATAGGAGGTAATATAGGAGGCTCTACCACCTTGTCCCATTCCCAATCTGTCTCCTCTCTCAATGGATATATGAAAGGTTCATAACACCTTTTATATACTTCAACAGAATAGCATTCATCAACATAAACAATAGGGTTTTTTGTTTTATCGACCATATGGCAGAAATTCCATGTATAGATGGAATGCCTGTGAGCTGCCACTTTCGACAACTACATTCTCTTGCATCAGGTCAACTGCATACTTGCCATCATCAAGATGGTCAACCTCCACATGAGAAGTTGAAGAAGGGGTTGGGGAGCATTTAGTGGCTAAGTTTTGGTATGCATCCAGCCTCTTGAAAATTCTTGGACAAATCACCTTGTTGTTCCATTTCTCAGTTGCCATTTTCCTGTTTTCCAACATCCTAGTGGTGGTGTACTTCCTCATTCTCTCCATAACACCAATAATAGGTTGTGCTCTTGCATCGGTAATCTTACCATTCAGAGACTCACAATTGTTATTTAGCGGTAAATCACAGTTACATATGACTGGAAAAAATGCCCTGCACCACTGATGACCAGGCATATTGCTTAACCATGTATATGCATTAACTGAAATCTCAGCCATCAACGCCATTTCTTTCTTGTACTGCCCCTCAGTTGTTGCCTTTCCAGCCTTCCAAAGTGCTTCCCTAAGTGCATGCCCCCCGAATCCATGGTCTACGAAATTAGCATGTAAATGCTTCACACAAAATCAATGGTGGGCACGAGGAAATTCTGATTCTGTAGCTCTGATTAGGCCCTTTTGCTTGCCACTCATTAAGGTCCATTGATTAGTATCTTCTTACTCGATTCGAAGATCACGTCTCAACAAATCCACAAACCATCCCCAAGATGACTTATCCTCAACTTCTACCACTGTCCAAGCAACCGGATATATTCCATTGTTGGGATCAACACCAACTACAGTGAGTAGAACTCCTTTCATATGACCCCTCAAGAATGTCCCGTCGAATCCAATAAACTTCCTGCAACCAGCTAAAAAACTATTTCTAACTGCTGCAAAACAAACATACATTCTCTGAAATCTTTGCTGACCTGTTGAGGGGTCTGTCCAGCCATCTTGTGGTTTAAGAACAATAGTACTTCCAGGATTACTTCGCAGGAGTTCATGCCAGAAACCCCTTAGCTTCTTAAACTGGTCATCTTGATTCCCCAATACAGCCTTGATTGCCTTCTTTCTGGCTTTATATGCTTGATCCCTTGTCATGTCGATGTTGTACCGTTCCTTCACAGTTTTCTTGAAATCTCGAGGTTTTATAGTGGGTTGTTCCTTAATAAGCTCTGCTGCCCTTAGTGCAATCCAACTGCTTATCAAACAAGGGTTGTACTTCACCCAAGAACAAATGTGTTTCGGAACAAACTTGTTAACCCTAATAGTCCCATCTGAACATTTTCCAACATTAATCTTCCAATGGCATTTAGGATCTACACATTTAGAACTAACCCTTTCTTTCTCAATTTTCAGAAATTTCCACTGAAAGCCCCTTAAAATATTTCATGTCCTAATAGCATGTGCTGACTCTTCCAAGCTATTGAAGGCAAGTCCACACTTCAGAGGAGGGTCCCACATGTCTTTCTTTGGATTAAATTGTTCTAAAGGTTCCTCACCTTCTTCATCTAATTCATGGAGTGATTCAAAGTCATCATCAGAATCTGGTATAGTGAGATTCAAATCCCTTAGTCTACCACCAATACGTTCATCTTCACTTTCATCGACATCCCCAGCACCTGTATGTGTGAGCTCTCCCATTGACTTACTGATTTCAGGAATCTTACTTGAACCCTCTTGCTGATTTCTGCTACTACTTCCTACAAGTTTCATCTTGCCAATACCCTGTGCCACAGTTGCAGCAGCTTCAATATTACTATCTTCAACACCCCATGTTGCTTCACTCTCACCTACATTCTCTGCATAATCTTGGTCATCAAATTCTGAATTATATTCAGAATCCTTATCACTCCATTCCTTGTTATCATCATCACTCATCATCATCACTTATATCAGCACCATTATCCAAATCCGACCCATCATCGCCCTTAGGACCACCATTGTTTACGTCTTCTGTCTGACTCACATTAGCATCATTGTCGAAGTCGTCACCTTTATTGGCCTTGGCACTAGCTTTCCCTGCAGCTTCACCATCTTTCCCTTCAACTTCAACTTCTAAAGCATACAGCTCCAACCATCTATCCTCTGCCAATGCATGCCCACGAGCTGGCTCTAAATCCCAATCATCCGATATTAATTCCACCTCATTTTCTTCAGTTACATAATAGAACTTTAGTTTCTCCCCCAACCCTATCCTATTTGCCATTATACCCAAGTCATAAACATCTAGGTTTTCCAAATCAACATTATCGAAAAACCTATATTCTCCTCCATGGTGTATAGATCATTTCACCACCATAATGAATCTGACCGCTTCCCATGGTCGAATTAGAATCTGCAGTAAGGTAAGAGTTAGGTCTCTAAACCCATCAAAAACCCTTAACAATACCAGGAAACAAAATATGTACAGAAACTAGTTTAATCGCATTCTAGGGACAGAAAATTGAATACAAACCACATGCATAATAGCAAAATTTGGGGACCACAATAATCAGATTCGAGGTAAGTCCTAAAGAATAGATTAACAAATAATGATAACAATTTTTTCAGAAGATCTACCATCAGAAATGGAACCCACATGTATCATCGTAAAGGAACATTCTTTCTCGATTGCCCTTTTCCCAGAAGCAAACAAACAGAAAAAAAAAAACAACAACTTTTGCAAATCGACATTTTAAAAGTCAGAATTTTTTCGAAGAATACTCATGATAGTCAAGTGGGGCCTCATCATTCTTCTCTTGTGGCCGTGGATCCAACATCGACGCTACCGGAATGCTTTCTGAATGACGACAACTTTTTTGCTCTGAAACTAAAGTGACCTTTCGATTTTGTGTTTTGGGATATTCTAGAATCGAAAAGATTTTCCAGAAAAAGGATTTTACTTGCCTCGTCGATTCATTTATCCTAGTGTTTACTCTTTTTTACTTCCCTCATTTTCAAAAAAAAGTGTTGACTCTTATTTCTCCATTTTTTTTTAATTATAACCGGTTAAAAGAAAAAAAAAATTTGGGCCGAGGTGGGGTCACAAATGTTTTGGTGGGAAATTTCCTTCCAAAATGGACTCAACATAACTAGCGATAATCAAGTGTATTTAGGCCTAAATTGGAACGAAGGGGCCTAGGGACAATTTTTATTAATAAAAAAATGAGGAGTTGACGGAAAGGTTGAAAAACCGTTATCTTAGACGGAAAATCGGTCAATTGGATAAAATTGGTGAAAAATCGAAACAAACTGGTAATATAGGCTTCGCAAAAATCAATTGGGTGCGATTAACATCAAGGAGGGGGGGGGAGAGGGGGAAGCTTTGGGTAGGATCGCCATTTTTTCCTCTTATTCTTCATTTCCATGGCCAGAAATGCACAATTCACCACAACTGACCAACATGTTTTTGATCATTTAATAAATTTTTTCTCTTTCAAATCAATAATCAAAATTATTCCTATTTTTAAGAATTGAGAGTTTGAGGGACGTTGCTACGTTTCAAGACACTCTTTCCAAATCAATGGAAGAAAACTAGAATCCGAACACCGATAAAATTTAGCAAAACTTATTATTAAACTATAAAAATTAATATATTGTTTTCCATCATTAATATAGCAAATATTGTCCTTCCACTATTCATTCATGGCAATACAAGACAAATAAAATCCCAATACCCAATTCAAATCAAGAAAGAAAAAATCAATGATGACAATCAAAGCTAGGAACTTGTGTCTTCGTTGCCTCGGGTAATTGGATTCAAATCAAATTCGTTCCTCTCAAAAAATACTAAAGAGGAAAATTATGTTCTCAACCATGGAAGTTTGTATATTTATACCATATTTAGGAAGAAAGAAATGTTGTAGAAACCAAAAATAATTAACAGCAGATGTTTGAAGGAAAAACCACAATTAATAAACCACCAAGCATTTGATCAAAACATGTACTGCCAAACCCAATTGATTAATCAAACCACAAAAAAACAATCACCACTTCGGCCTTGCACGCCGCACTACACCAACAAAAGCACAACCCGTACTACTTTTTTTAATCCCAACTAAAGCATATATATATATAGGTCGGCTAGATATTCCTTAAACCCTATATAAATAAGAACTTACAAAAACAACCCTAAATATAATAATAAACTTAGTTTAATTATAACATTGCCTCCCTTAAACTAAGTTTCCTCCAATCACCATGCCGAACATATCTCTCAATTTCACAAATGTCTCTAACTTCAATGCCTTTGTAAAAATATCCGCAACTTGCTCTTCAGTCTTGAAATAGTCAACAACAATTTCCTTTGTTCGTACCAAATCACGAATGAAGTGAAATTTGATGTCAATATGCTTAGTACAACTATGATAAACCGGATTTTTAGTCAAATCAATAGCTGACTTATTATCACATAATATTGTGGTCGGATCTTCTTGTTTGTGCTGCAAAAAACCAATCATTCTCCTCAACCAAATTGCTTGAGTGGCACTATTAGTTGCTGCAACATATTCTGCTTCTGCCGTTGACAATGCTATCACTGGTTTTTTTATTCGAACTCCATGAAAAAACTGCAGAACCAATAAAGAAAGCATAACCAGAAGTATTTTTCTTCTCAACTGTATCACCAGCATAATCACTGTCAGTGTATCCAACCAACTCAACTGATTCGTTTGAGTACAAGATACTATCTCCCTGTGTGCCTTTAATGTATCTCATAATTCTCTTTGTTACTTGTGAATGAGATTGACGAGGATTTTTCATAAACCTACTGATCAAGCTGACACTGTAGTTAATATCCGGTCTTACGGAGGTCAAATATCTCAAACTTCCAACCAAACTCTTAAAGTAGGTTGGATCTACAAAATTTCTGGACTCATCTTTCGTCAACTTCAACATCTCTTCTGCAGGAGTCAAAATGGAATTAGCTGCATTCATCTTAAACTTCTTTAAAACATCACCAGCATACTTCCTCTAAGAAATGAAGATGCCGCAATCAAGCTGTAAAACTTCAATTCCAAGAAAATAGGACCTAAGACCCAAATCTGTCATCTCAAATTGTCTAACCATAGCCTCCCTAAATTATGTCATCATCTTCTCATCATTTCCTGTGAAAATCATATCATCAATATATAAGCACACAATAGTTATGTCACCGGTTTTTAAGGACTTGACATAAAGAGTGTGTTCGTACAGATACCTTTCAAAACCACTATTAACAAAAAAGGTGTCAATACATGTATACCATGCCCTTGGAGTTTGTTTCAAACCATACAATGCTCTTTTTAGTTTGCAAACCAATTCCTCATTCCCTTTCTTGACATACCCAGGAGGTTGCTCTACATAAACTTCTTCTTCGAGTACATCATTCAGGAAAGCAGATTTAACATCCATTTGATGAATTTTCCATTTGTTCTAAGCAGCTAGAGAAATTATCAAACGAACAGTATCAAGTCTTGCAACCGGTGCAAATATTTCAAAGTAATCAATTCCAGGCTTCTGCTTATACCCCTTCACCACCAATCTTGCTTTGTACCTATCAATCTCCCCAGTGTACTTATATTTTGTCTTCTACACCCACTTCACCCAGTGGGTTTCTTCCCGCTAGTAAGATCAACAAGTTCCCAAGCATTATTCTTCTCTATCGCACGCATTTCTTCATCCATTGCTCTTACCCAATTTTCATTTCTTACAACTTCAGTAAAATCAACCGGATCATAATCTGCAAATAAGGCAAAATTGACCATATCTTCATTAGTCAAATCATCAACTTCACTTCCCACAACACAATCTTGCAATAGGGCTGGTAATCTTGTTTGTCTTCGTGGGCGTTTTTGAGACACTAGAGAACTCATACGAGACTGTTGATTAGTTTCTTGATGTTAATCATGCACATCTTCTTCATCAATATATGAGGGTGGTGGTGATTGTGGACTCTCTAACCCATTTTCTGACCATTCCCAAGCTGCATGCTTATCAAAAGTGAAGTCTCTACTAACAAGAAACTTCTCAGTCTCTGGATTATACAACTTATATTCTTTAGTCTAAAAGCTATATCCCAGAAAAATACATTTTTTAGTTTGTCATCCAGTTTCTTTCTAATAGCATCAGGCACATGAGCATAAGCTACACAACAAAGACTTTGAGATGAGAGACATTGGATTTCCTTCCAGACCAAATCTCATATGGAATCTTTCTTCGAATTTCTCTTGATGGGTACCTATTCAAAACATAAACTGCACATGCAACTGCCTCAGCCCAAAATTCTTTAGGCATATTTTTTTCTTTCATCATAGATCTCACCATATCCATTATAGTTCTATTCTTCCTTTCAGCAACACCATTCTGTTGAGGAGTATACCTTGCTGTCATCTGATGCTTAATCCCATGCTTCACTAAGAAATCATCACAAACTGTATATTCAGTGCCTCTATCTCCTCAATGTCTTAATGAAATAGCCACTCTGCTTCTCAAGATAACTCTTAAAACTTTTTAAAATATAACAAGCATCAGATTTCTGCTTCAAAAAATAGATCCATGTCTTCCTGCTAAAATCATCAATAAAAGCAATAAAATACTTATTACCTCCACGAGAAGGAACCTCAACTGAACAAAAATCTGAATGTATGAGTTCCAATAGCTGCCGTGCTCTCCAAACATTTCCCTTTGGAAAAGGATCCCTATGCTTCTTTCCAAAAAATGCAAGGTTCACATTGTCTAGCAGAAAAATTCAACGGTGGTAATCCAGAAACTACATTATTCCTAGCAATGAATTGTAAACTGCCAAAATGAAAATGCCCAAACCTCATGTGACATAACAAAGTATCATCAAAAGATTTGGCACTCAAACAAGGTGCATTAGCATAATTCAAAGTGATTGGAAACAATCTACGAACCATTTTTACCTCTGCAATAATTCGCCCGTATGAATCACGAATGGTACAAACCCCATGTTTAAAATTCAAATCATACTTTTTCTCTTGCAACTGACCAAGACTCAAAAAATTATGAGGCATATTAGGAACGTAAAAGACATCCCCAATATAACTCAGCTCTCCATTTTTCAACATAATAGGAATACGACCTTTGCCCAAAACACGTAAAATTTGATTATTGCCAAATCTCACTATCGCTTTAAAAGATTCATCCAACTCTGAAAAAATCTCCTTCTTCCCAGTCATATATGATTACTACATCCCGAATCGACATGCCAATCCGAACCTTTGCTTT